TCCCGTGTTTAATTTGAAAAGCCATTTTACTTAATATACTGACTTAAGCGGTTATTGTATGCGGTGGTCTCCCGGAGACCCCCCTGTAGTTCAATGCCATCATCCACCCCTACTGGGTCGACGGCTGGCGTGCAGAAATATGGAAGATTGTTGGTAATTCAACCTTCTTAAATTTTTTAAGTAGGTGATTATAACACATAAGGACTTTCGAAGACCTCACGAAGAACTCTTACCGGATAGGGTTAATAAGAGTCCTCTGATTACAACTCATCGTTTTCACGCAGCCCGCATGGCGAGATCGGCGTGCATTTCATGATATTATCCTGGAAGTATTCGGCAATTATGTGCAGAAAAGCACTTGTGTCCAAAAAAACTCTTTTTCGCTCATTGCCGAAAAATAAAATGGTCGCGGTTTTCAGGTTAGCTTGTGTTATCCTACATCATAATTGATAGAGAACGAGATTCAATGTGACCACAGAAAACATGGAACTGATTGCCTCAACTAGATGGGCTTGCCTATATAATTTAACGAATGTTTTTTAAGCAGAAAAATTATGGGATATCTTAATGCGTTTTGAAAGTTGTGCAAAGGTAAACACATATGTCATTTGGAGTTTTCATTTGCGCATTTAGGTGAATTGGACGAAGATTGGCTATTGCTTAACGAGAATCATCCGATAAAGGAGAGTTACATGAAGCCAATTTAAGTAAAGATCCAACATAGAAAAGCAAGTGATGAAACCTTGTCGAGAAGCAAAAATCAGACCCACCACTAAAAAAATCTAAACATCTGCGTCTTTTCCCTGCAAATGAATAACTTCACGAATATTGATGAAATACACTACCGCAGCGCCGTCATTTGGACTCTTATGGCATAATTTACTGACTCTTTGAATTCAACAAGCCGGTAGTCTTCCAACACATTTAGCAGCGTTTTTTTCCCTTCAACACAACCCTCTAAAGGATGGATATTTTGTTTGTTATGCCAAATTCGGAATTTAAAGGCTGATGACGGTTCGTTGGGTGAAAATATGCTGATTTTAAAGGTAGAAGAACAATTTTATAAATCCTGAACTTCTTCTAACTCAAAAAGTGTCATGGTAAGGGGGCTAACAAAAAACAAGAGTTTATATATTAGAAAGGACAACGCAGTCAAAAAGCTTTCTACAAAGATAGTTATGCTATGATATCAACAGCCGACTACATTTTTCTCATTTTAGTAACTTCATGTGTGTGCGAGATAGAGGGAAAAATAAAGGGATGGATAACCGATCCTAACATGTAAGTATTGCGAGAAATTTCAGTAAAACGCCCTCTCCCCCATTAGCATGGCCGAAACATAAGTACATACACTGGGTGAACAAATAGGTTCACATAGCACTTTTTATTAGTAGGTGAAAAATAGAATGTCCATTTTCGGGTATCGTCATTTTGGACGTCCGGTATCGTGCCATAAATGGTAGCACGAATAGGCAATATGTCACAAGCCACGGCGGATGTGGAGGAAAGACTTCATAGCAATTAACCCACTGGGAAAAGGTTGAACAGCACACCTCAGTACACGATCGGAAAATTGGTTGATTTCCTAATTAACCGATTTTGTGGAAACTTTTCCGAGTATACGAAATAAAACAGTCACATAATAATAACCCTATGTGCACAGGCGACGGGGATAAACGGGGATTACCCCGTCCTAAACCGGGATGAAAATTGTGATTAAATTAATTATATTGAGGGAACGCATTTATAGAAATCTACTTTTTTATCAATAAATTATTAATAACTTTATTCTCTTACATACGTATCAATTTGGAAGCTTAAAAATACGAAAAAGCTGGCGTCTCGCTGCGCAAAAGCTTTTCCGGCCGGTGGGTGACGGGTTGAAATCCCCGTCAGTAGCTCATTGACGGGGATTTCAACCC